GTCCCCGCGCGCGGTCACCAAGCTTCCTCCCCACGGCTCACCGCCCTGTGGGTGGGCGCCGCAAATCCACGTCCGGACCCTGGCCCAGATCCCGCCCGCTTCAGCAGTTATTTTTATTTTTTTAGTTTTTGTTTTTTGCTGAAATAAAGAGCGTTATACAAACATAAAACACTGAATGGTAATGTGACGTAGAAAACTTAGTTGAGCACTTGTAAGTACCAGACTTTTGCTAAGCGCTTTGTAAGAGTTCTATCAGGTAATACAACAGCTTTCTTTGAGAGGCAGCTTTAGACAAGTGCTAGCTTAAAGGTAGGTTCTGTTACCAAACTCTGGGCTCAAGTCCCGTATAGCTGCCCATTTGGCTGAATACTCTCCAGGGTCTTAGCTGTAAAATGAGGATAAGGAGAGTACCTACCTCACAGATTTGTGCTGAGGATTAAATAAGTCAAAACACTTAAAACAGTATGTGGAGCACGGACAGGGCTGCAACTAAGCGTCTGCTGATAATACAAGGGAAGTACTATGATTCCCATTTTTTTAGTAACTTGCCAGGGGTCACATTAATAATTGGTAGCAGTGAGAATGGAAACCAGGCAGTGTGACATATGATTAATATGATTAATTTTTTAATTGCATATTAATGCCCAATGAGGAACATCTGTGTTAGGCTGATTTCCCCGAAAATATTTACATTCAAATTTTAATTTGAAAAAATTTTGAACTAGAACTGAAAAAAAATTAATGCACATTTATTGAAGAAACTAGACTATGCAAATAAGTACAGGGATGAAAAACCCATGCCCAGGGGGAAAAAAACCCAACAACGCTGCTAATATGTATATGACCTGTCTTGAGGCTTTTTTCCTTAGGATCTGATAAATCAGTCTAAGCCCAAATTGAACCCTCTGCTGGGGCTCCAGCCTGGTCTTTCTGGGCACACAAGAAGATCATTGCTTCCCAACCCCCCAATTATATTTTAGGAGGTCTTGACAGGGAGCTGAGGAGAGAACTCAGCCAAAGGAAGAAAGAGCCAGGCCTTCGACTTCAGAGGGTATCCTGAGTTTATCAGAACAGGACACTGGTGAGAGCAAAATCAGAAAGAGAAACATCACTACATCCTGCAACTTGTTGGGGCGCAAGCACCTCTACCCTGAGGTGCCTCTGGGTGGCCACTGCACAAAGGAAAGAGAAACCCTCCCTTCTCTCAGTCCCTACAGCTTCAGCCCCTGAGGGTAAGAACAGCTAACAGCCCAGAGCTATGCCACTTAACAGCTAAGGAGGGATCTTGGTCAGATTATTTGGTTCTGCTGTGTCTCAATTTCCTCATCTCTAAAATGGGGGTGATAGTAGTATCTATCCCTGAGGGCTGCTTCAAGAATTAAACAAGATCTTGTCTGCAAAGATTTGTTAGCTTGGGCGTATGGCATATACTTAGGGACTAATAAATATTTTATTATACATGTAAAGATCAGTAAGTATAGTTGCAGCAGTTTTTCAGAATGTAAATTGTATGAGGTTCTTTGGTGGAGGCCAGGAATGCAGCGTTTTTGGCATCAAAAAAGTTTCTAGTGCAATCCCAATAGGAGGATGAAGACTGCATAACGGCATTTTCCCTCTTCTAGGGGTGGGGAAGGAAATGAGCCACCGTAATTAGAGATTGTGGTTAGAAATTTTTGTTCTAAGGGCTGGGGGCAGGGAGGACTATTAACTCTTATCGTAAAAACAAAGAAAACAGAAGGAGGTGATTTTGTGTGATGGGAAAAGAGACTGTGGCAGGCAGGGGGAAGAAGAAAGGGTCAAGGTCCGTGGGGAAAATGGGGCTTCTCTTCATCGGGTGTGACCCTGGAGCAGTCAGTGGCCCTAGAAGGGCCGGAGCCAGGAAAGCAGCGGCAAAATCACCAGAAGCCTTTCCACACAGAGGGACTAGGAAGTGCAAGGAGCTCAGGTGGGAGTGGATTTGCTTATATAAAATTGGGGCCATTCAAGGGCCCTTCCCTTAAGGGAAGGCCCGACCCATGTCCCCACATGAGGCCTCAGGACACTCATAAACCCCCACATGGTGGCTCTGAAGCTTTATCAGCCTTCAGAATCACCTGGGCGGGCACAGGTACTTTCTAGTAAGATTCTCATTCATCAAGCCTGGGGTGAAGCCAGGAACACGCATTTGTAGTAGTTGCACTGACACTAGGATACAAATGAGCCCTCTGATTACCAAAAACACTGCCCTAAGGCAGTGGCCACCCTTTAATAGGTGGTGAAATCAATTCAAGGGGTGGAGACCAGCATCTTAGAAAAAAAAAAGAAGAAAAGAAAAAAGAGAAAACATTGCTCATACCAAGAGTTTTTTGTTTCAGTTAAATATAGTACATATACATTTATGAACACTGGGGATTGAATGTATTTCTTACTGAGGGTCATGGTCAGAAAAATTTGAAAGCTGTTGCTCTAAGGTGACCTCAGGAGCATTGGTGGGAGTGGGGAAGGCTGTACTTTGAACTTTAAAGCGTGCCTAAGCAGGACCCCCTTAGCTGGGGACAGAAAAGAATGGACACCTTTGTTACATTTTAGTCATTCAACAGATTTATTGAGCAACTACCTATGTGTCAGGCCGTATTTAAGACACTGAGCATACAACTGTAAAGAACAAAGTCTACTAGACAAATAAAACAAATGAAAGTGTAATATCGGTAAGTGATAAGAGCTGTGAAAAAGACTCAGACATTGAAGAGAAGAGAGCTGGATGGAGGTGCCGATCTAGAGAGGATGATCTAGGAGATCGCTTGGATGAGTGGCACTGGAACTGTGCCCTGGATAAAGACAGCAAGCATGTCTAGAGAATAACTGAGAAAGGAGCTTTCCAGACAGAGGGACCAGCAAGGGCAAAATTTCTTTTTATGCCATAAACTCTGCTCCCCCCTCACCAAAGAATCATACAGAATTTATATTCTGAAAAGGTGCTACAGGTCTATTTACACACCCTCACATTTTCATTAGCCCCTTACTGTATGGCATAGAGGGGAAAATGTTTTTCTAAAATTAGGATTATCTTTACATTCTGCTCTGTAACTTGCCTTTTCACTTGCTCATTTATGACATTTGGCTTTGGATTTTTTTTTTTTCACCTTTTTGGTAATAAGCACTTGGGAAATTCTGTCGGAAAAGACTTTTCTTCCCCAGCCTTTACTGCCTCAGGCCTGCTCTTCGACAGCGAACCCAGCCCTTGTCTGCTTGCCAGGTGGGGCCTTTGGTTAATCTCTGGCCCCGCCTCACCCAGTCCTGTGCCTCCTTCCTCCTCAGACCCTGATCCAACCACCATCTCTGGTGTTGGGGCTGGAAGTCATCTGACTGGGGTTTGCGTGGTTTCCAGGAGTGGCAAGAAAACTGTCAATGCTGTGGCTTCTTTTCTCTTGTGACGTTTTCACAGCATAACCAGCTTCAACTGTCACCTTTAAGAACTTGGCAGCCTGCCAGGGCAGACAGACTCAGACCACATGGGTTCCATGTGATGCAGTCCAGGCACCCAAGAAGAGAGAGTCCTTTCTGCCCTGGCCAGACCAGACCAGACTGGATGAGACCAGGTCTCGTTTCCAGAGGGCTCTTAGGATCAGCACACTTCAGAGGAGGGACAATGTCAAACTGGGCAAGTCCAGGAGAGAATAACCAGTTTAGGCAGTAAAGAGTCAAGAACTAGGATTATTTTTATATAAGGCAGAATTGGAGGCACTGGTAGTGTTAGGTTGACAGGGTGAAAGGTGAAGGGGAACAAGAGGGGACATGAGATGGTTGCTTACATCCATAGCTTTCTATCCTGTATCCTAATTGGTTGTCCATGACTATCTTCCCCTTTTATTCTTGATTCAGAAATACTCATTGAAGATCTACCGTGTGATAGACCCGTGCTGTCCAATACCATATCCACTAGCCACATGTGACTACTTAAATTTAAAGTTAAAATTAAAGACAATTTAAAATTCAATTCTTAAGTTGCACTAAATAAATTTCAGATGTTCAATAGCCACATGTGGCTCAGGGTTGGCATATCGATAGGACAGTACAGATATAGAACACTTTCATCATGGTAAATGTTTTATCATAGTGCTGTGATGGACCCTATGTTAGAGACCAGCAATAAATACAGGTGTAAATAAGACTTAGTCACTGCCCACATGGAGTTCACAGGCAAGTGAGTGATAAGCAAATGAAAAATACGGGCTTTGGAAGCACAAAGGAAGGATAGCTAACTCAGTTTGAAGGAGGAGAGGAGGGATTAGGAAAGACATGAGGGTAGAGAGGGAGCTGGCCGTTAAGCTAAGGATGGTTATCCAGACAAAGATAAGTGAGGGGATGTAAGGAGATACTCCGGACAGATACAACACCATGTACAAGGATTCAAAGAGGACAGCAAAATGAGCCTGGGAGCTGCAAGTAATTTAAACCATTGAAGTATAGAGTGTGGATGGCAGAGGCAGAAGATGAGGCTAAAGATATATAGCCAACCTTATAGACCTAATGAAGGAATTTGGACATCAGCTTGGATATCAGTTATCTATTGCGTATAACAAGCCACCCCAGAGTTTAGTGGCTTAAAATGACAACTGTTTATTTGCTCACAATTCTGTGCATTGACAAATTGGGCTGGGCTCAGATAGGCTGTCCTTCTGACAGTTACTCGTGTGGTTGCAGTTGTCTAATGACTCAACTAGAGCGATGGTCTAACATGGTCTCTCTCACATATCTGGCATATGGTACTAGTTATTGGATGGGCCATGTCTTTCTTAAACAGGTTAGCCTGGGCTGCTTCTTATGGTGGCAGTGTTCCAAGAAAATGAGAGCAGAAACTACAAGGCTTTTGAGGCTTAAACTCAGAAATAGCACAATGTGACTTCCACCACATTCTATTGATCAAAATAAATTACAAGGCCAGCCCTGATGGGAGAAGCTACAAAGAATATGTGATCATTTTTAATCTATCACACCCTGAACTGAGGTGGTTGGTAAAGAGAAGTGGACAGATTTTTATTTTTAGGATATTTAGGAGGTAAAATCAAGAAGTCTTGGGGATTGTTCTGGCACAAGGAAGAGAGAGTGAAGTTACAAATGACTCTTAGATCTTTGCGTGGGTGATTGGTGAATGGTAGTGCCCCGCATTCAAAAAGAAAAGAGGAAGAACAGGTTTGGGGGGAAGATAATGTTTCCAGTGAGTCATGTCAAGGATGAGGTGTATTTTAGATAGCCAGATGGAGATGTGAAGGAAGCAGGTGGATATACAGGTCTGAGAAAAGTCTAGTTAGAGATACTAGTTTGGAAGTCTCAGGTGCCTTAAGCCTAAAGCATCTTCCAGGGGGCTACATCCCCAGAGCTGAAGCGTCTTGAGGTTACGGACCTGGTAAGTCAACTCCATGGCTGTACTTAGCCTAGCCCGGTGCCCCAAGGCAAAGCAATCACTCTCTCCTGCTTGAAGGTTGTTATGGGAAAGAAGGATTAAGCTTGTATAGAGAGCCCTCAGCTCTGACTAAGATCAGTGTTGCAAGTGGCATGGGGGTAGATCCCAGCTCCTGACAGGAGGAAGTCTAACAAGCCACTGACTGAGAAAGTAATGAGTACATTACCAAGGGAGTGTCAACAGGGGCCAGAAGAAACCTCTTTAGGGATGCTGTGGTGGGGACTCCTTCTCTGGGTTGGAAGAGAGACCCAATCATCAGCCTTGATATTCTGTGAAGGTAAATGTCCTTCACCACCCTTCCCCTCATTCCCACAGGCACCTAACTTTCAGAAACTTCACCGAAGGCAGTTCTGCTGGGAGATCAGCAAAGCAGGTGGCACTTACTAGAGTGCAAAAGAAATATCCGCTAAGATCCCTGCATTCATTCATTCATTCATTCACTCACTCACTCAACAAACATTCCACAAGCCTCTACTGCACACCAAGCCCTGTGCTATGCTCTAGAATACGGAGACCAATGGACTCTAGTCTGCAAGCAATGAGACTGCAGCGGCAAAAACCTGGTCTTGTAGCTGCTGTTAGTTTCCAGAACTGTCTTCCCACTGGATCTCAAGAAGGTATTGAGGGATCCCTTTGCCATGGTGGTGGGCTGTAGAAGTTTGATGAAAGAAAGAGTGAAAGGAATGGGGGAATGGGGTCTCTGGGGAAGTATTCAAAGGAAGTTTCTCTGCCTGGGTGGAATCAGGGAACACTCCAAAGAAATAAAGCAACATCGCTATCTGGGCGAATAACAATTTAAAGGGTGACCTTCGTTAAGTGTTTTCTCCGTGAATAATATTGTGGTACCCGATTTACTTTTTTTATATAGATTCTCTGGCAGTGTGGTCTTGGGCACATCTGTCTTCTTCTCTGGAACCTTATCAACGCATTATTGCAGTAAGAAAGCAGGGCGGGGCGCTCTCGGCTCGGCCACTGGGAAACGTCAGGAAAGCGGAACCGCGATTCTGCATCAGGCGAGGGCGCCCGGAGGCTTTTCGCCCGGACTCCCACCCTAGCGACGCGCGCCTCGTTGCTAGGGGTGGAGGCACCTGAGGCTGTGCAGCGTGGAGGCTGCGGTCGATCTTTGGCTCCGCGTCCCCGCCGGCCTCAGCTCCGGGCTGGGTAGCCTGCCGATGGGTATGGAGCCCGACGGGGGAGAAGGGGCTTAGCGGGCGGGCGAGAAAGTGGGAGTCCTCACGCTCTCCATCCGCAGACGCCTACCTGGCCGAAGCAAGGAGAGAGTTTCGAGGGCTGGTCTTGGGTTGGGTGGCGCTAGATTCCCATCCTCCTAAATACACATCGAAAATAAGCTTTGGCCGTCCGCATGTACTGGTTGAAGGGCATTAGTAATCTGAAGAGCCAGAAAGGAAAAACCGCACACAGGTTGTCCTCAAAGCTTGGGGCAATCTTGGGATTCTGGTCTAGTACTGACTCCTTGTGTGACTCTGGGCAAGACCCTATTATTTTCTGGACCTCGGTTCCCCCTATCTGTATTATTAGAGGTTTGAATTAGACCATCTCCAACGTGCTTCTACCATAATTTTGTATTTGAGTTTTGGTTTACATGCCTCGGTCTCCCAGAGTGTACGTTAGATGTGTGTAGAGGGAGATACCGGGAGAAGGGAGGGCGATGTGAAATCAACATTTAGATAAACAGTGGACCAAGAGTCCAGGGAAATAAGGTCTGGTTCCCCACTTCTGTTCCTGTGTGATCTTCAGCAAGACACAACCCTCTGAGTCCCAGTTTCTTCATGGAAAATAATAGTTGGGTGTATGCTGGAGTGTATCAAAGCATGTGGCGCTGCAGATCTAGAAGAGAATTTTCTGAGTTATGTTTGCGGTGACCATTGTGTATCTCAAGGTTTTTGGAAAGCAAATTGGGGCAGAAATGGATCCTGGGATTCAGATTTAGGCCTGGTTCCATGAAGAACCAAAACGGACATCCAGAGCCATAATTGAGTTTATGGCTTTCCCAAGTTCTCGCCACCCTTTCCAGGCCTGAAGTTGGATGGGGCAGGGTAAGTGCTCCCTGAAGGATTTGCTTTTGTGGAGTTTTAACGTACTCATAGATTGTTGGCTCCCTAAAAAGCTTCTTGCTAAGCAGACTCTTCACCTTAATATGCTATTCATTCATTCATTCATTCATTCATTCATTCATTCAACAGGTATTTGCTTTGCATCCGTTCTCCCAGGCTATGCTTAAAGCACATATACAAAAATGAACAAGACACTATCCCTCCTCTCAAGTATAGTACTGTTCACAATATAAACAGTCGAACATAACTGAATAGTGTTTTCATTTCTAAGGTTAGTCAACTCATAATAAATTACAACATGGACTTTATCTACCTACCTATTCTTTGTTCTCGATATTTTAAATTGCCTTGGTAGTATATAATATAATAAATTCTTAGCCTTAGTGTGATCAATCACTCTGGTAAGAGGACAAAATTGGCTTCAGTTTAATATTCTCAAGACTCACATATCCATATGTATATGTTCTCTGTGTATATGTGTTATGTATGTTTAATATATGTGTATTAAGAGAGACAGTAAAGGTGGAATTGCTACTTTCAATACTGCAATCACTGTTAATCTAGTAATCATATTAGTAACCATCATTTACCTTCAACAGTTTTCCAGACTGAACTGAGACCTTTATATGCACTACCTTTTGTAGAGATGCAGTATAGTATGCTGGTCAAGAGCAAGGCCTCTGGAGTCAGACTGCCTAGATTCACGTTTCAGCTCTTCCACTTATTTGCAATATATTTGTAAACTTGGGCAATTTATTTAACATCTCTGCCTCGATTTCTCATCTGTAAAATGAGGATAGTAACTATTTCAAAGACTTGTGGAATAGATTAAATGAGTTAAATATAAATCACTTAAAATAGTTCTTGGCACATCTTAAGTGCTATTTTTAATCTTCACAGAAGGCCAATTATAGAGTTATCCTCTCATTTTGCACATAGGAAACTGAGACTTAGATTCAACAACTTATCTAAGGTCATAGTAGAACTGTAATTCAGACCTAGCCCTAATAGCGATGCCAATGCACTTAGTCAAATGTTATTCTGATTATTATGTGCTGCTCTTAATTCTTAGAATAAGCTACACTGTCAATCGATAATTAAAATTTATTTGAATTATTAAGATAGAGTTTTTAAAGTGCAATAAAACCAGTTTCTTCTTTGTAGATATTTATAATGGAAATTCTGGACTTGAAGTCAAGAGGTCTACCTAGATATAATTTTGAGTAATATTTCTGTTCTCAGTTTCCGGATCTTTAAATAAAGGATTTATATGTGATTTGGAAAAGCTCTTTCATCTCAAGTTCTGTGATTCATACTTATTAAAGTATTATTTTAAACAGGAGAAATAGCCTTTCTCACAAAAACAGTAAGCTCTGAAGTAAGCAGTCACCTCTGAAGATTTTTGATGAACAGAAGTACTATGAGTAAAATAAAAATATTTAATGATGCATTGGAATATATTCTATTTTGCATACTTAAATATTACAGTGTACTTTCCCTAATTATTGAAATGTGAGAGTTGTAAAATTTTAGAATTTTCTAAGATAGCTCTCTTTGTGAGAGAAAATGCTTAATCTCTTTAATTAACAAGGTCTTTATTTACCTTATAAATCTCCTTTCTGTGCAAACATATGCTTAGACAGAGAAGAGATTAATTTAAGCATCTTTTCACTAATTACAGAGATTAAGAAGTGGCCACCTGAACTATTTTCCAAAGGATAAACATTACAAGGCATTGAATACAGCAGTTCACCAAGAAGATCCTATTGGTTTGGGGGTAAGTCATTCTAAAAGTTATCTTTTCATTAGAATGTCCCATGAAACTTTAGTTCAGGTAGAGTGTATGGCTCTCTGAAGATACCAGTTAAGAATCTAATCAGTTTTCATCAGAGCCAATCCTTTTATAGCATCTGCAGTTTCCAGTGACCTAGATCTATGGATGGCATCTGTCCTTAGTTTGATGACAATGTTGAAAAATGGGTTAGGCTGGCAGATAAGACGCCCTGCGACCTCTTTCTATTTACAAACAATACAACATCCCAAACTTTTTGCAAACTATCCTGGAATTTTTCCCGTCAGCCCATCTGTTGCTTATTATAGAGAATCCTGGAATGTCTGAACTGGAAGGGACCTTAGATTCACTACTTCACAACAAGTGTTTTTACATTGTGCAAGCCACTTGAGGTACAAAGATGGATATGACAGTCCTCTTAGAGAGAACATAGTCTACTAAAAATCATTTAATCTGATTTCACATTTTATCAATGGGGAGACTGAGGCATAGAGTGAGGAATGGAGGAACTCAAGGACACATAGTGACATGAGGCAGAGCTGGGGCTAGAGCCCAGGGCTCTTGATGTCACACAGTGTTCTTTCCATTGCATTGTTTCTGTATTGGTTACCTCTTCTTGTCAGGAAGTCAATTCTGGCAACTTCTCAAAATGTAGGTTGAAATTCTTCTGGAACACTATTTGTTAATAGTAATGAAATGATTGAGAATACTTGGTGAGTTTTAGCTGCTGTTCTCCCTGTAGACTGTTCTTCCTAGAACTAAGCTGGTCATGCCCATAAGAAACTCATCTCCTAGTATTTCTTTAAGCAGAACTCCAGAAAAGATGGGGACTGGGTACTCCCATCTCCCCACTAACTTCCCTCCACCCTCTGGTGTCTCAGGCAATAGCTAGTTGCAGAGAACACAGAGTAACTGAGAATAGCCCCTAGTCACATGCCTTTAGTCCAAGCATGGGTCCACGCTGGCCACATCTTCCGGTTTCTCTTTTTTCTCCTTCTGTTTAAGCAGTATAGGACCCACACAAATTAATTGCTTGGGAGGTGTTTCCTGAATGAGTGTATGGATGAGCATCTCTCTTTCTCTTTTACTCTAGCCTTGTCAGTTGTTGGGGACAATACAAGTAAATCTAGAAAACATTTAATAATTCTTTCTATTTTAATATACCACATTATTCACGATTGACATTATTTAAGTTCTATGTTAGTGGTTCTCAAACTTTTTGGCTTCAAGACTCCCTTTAACTCTTAAAAATTATTGGAGACCTCAAAGATCTTCATATTAGTTTAGTTATGTTTTTGTTTATCTGATAATGTTTTATTATGGGGTACATTCCCAGGACCATGAGAGTGAAGCAGAGAAAGGAGGAAAAGCATACAATTAGTCTTTTTCAAAAAGGGATATGTTTTTTTATGACCATTGTGGGGGAAGAACAAACTTTCCTCTATCCTCAAGGTTCTTTGGGCTGGTCTAATAATCAAATTGACATGAGGCTGATTAGCAAGAAAAAATAACCAAATTTAATACATACATATATATGGGAAACCTGCATATATGAGAGAGTCAGAGACTCACATGCATGAGAGGTTCAGAGATAGAAAGGGGGACTGAGGTACATCCTGAGCTAGGGACCAGGTAACACACCATGGGGGCTTCAAAGGGTCATTGTGGGATCATAAGAAGAGCAGCTATTTATTTAATAAAAGTTTTCCCTGACATATAGGTGAGTCAAAAAGATTATCGTGTATAATCTCTTATTATGGGCAAGGCCCCGAATTCAAGTTCTTCTTGGTAGTTAAATTGGGGTGGAAGGCAGAAGTTTCTCTTGAGTCTGAAGCTAAAATTGCCTTTAAAATACCACAGAAGCGCGTCTTGGGGTGACTCCTTCTGAACCCCCACATTATACTACCACCATTGTACCTAACAAAATTAACAGTTTATATTCTTTTTACTGAACAGGGAACACAACTTCCAGCAGCCACAAGGGATGCTACTACTCAGGTGCCAACTGAAACGAGCTCTTCCACAGAAGGTTTTGTGTGGGTCCTGTGCCGTGATGGGGAAACTGCAAAGCAAACTAAAGCACAGCACTTATAAATACAGGTACAGCAATCCTACCTTGGGATCCTAAGTTTTATCGCACTCCGTTAAAATTCTCCACTAAAGAAAGAGAAGGCCCAGAGCAAGTATTGATGACCTTTCTTGAACAGTTTGGTCTGGTTTTTGGGGGGTATGGGGGATAAGAAACAGTCAGATCAGTAGCCAGTGTCTGCAGCCACATAAAGAGGGGCCCTACATCTTTGGAATAATCTCTAGAGTGAGTAAAGACTCCTAGCTTCTTGGCGTCAGGATTCCTTTTTATGAGATTCAGTCATTCTGAGAACTTACAGGGTTAATAATACCACTTCTGGCAATGCCAGTGGGTCTCTTCTCACTCCTTTTCCGTCTTTCTCCTGGGCCTGGCCTGAATTGCCGCCTTCGCTCACACATACTCTTCTTCCCCTGGCTTCATTGTGCACTCCCAAACCGCTGGGCAGCTCATTTTTTATCTTCTTTAGCAGGCCAGATGGAATTATAGAAGAGAGAATTCAAACCAAAGCTTTTCAAGAATATAGCCCAGCTCATGTGGATACTGTCTCTGTCGTTGCTGCTCTGAACTCAGACCTTTGTGTCTCTGGAGGAAAAGATAAGGTGAGGTTTGCAGTGTATCCCAGGGAACCAACTTTTTGTAGAGGAGGGAACATGTTTGGGAAGGAAGCGCTGGTTTTGCATTTCTTATGGCAGTGTTGAGTAGTATAAGTATGAGCTTTAGAGTTAGACTGGGTTTAAATCCCTGCTCTACCACTTCCTATTTCTTTGAGCAAGTCTTTTAATTTTCTTGAGCTTCAGTCTCCTTTCTATTAAATGGGGATAATAATGCCAACCTCACAGGACATGAGGATTAAATGATAAGATCCTTAGCATTATTCCAGGCCATCTATGTGCTTTTTATAAATGACAAGTATTATTATTTCAGCCAGCCTATTTTTACACTTACACAAAGACACAGCAGTTATTCATCAGCAAAAGTCTCTATTTTAATGCTGCTCTTTTGCCAGAATCTCTGCCTTGGTGTGCATAGTCCTTCCCACTGTCACTTTGAATCTGGTTGCTTTCTCTCCCTCGTATTTGGATCTATCAGCGCTTCCAGCTAGGATATTGGTAGCAAAAATATTGATTCTCTTGTAGTAGATAATGCCGCTAATTTAATGGCCTTTTGGAATCTTTAAATTCCATTTTCACACTATTTCACTGATTCTCAAATGCACATCTTCACATTTTAACACTTCTGAAATCAGTATGCATCTAAAAATTGATAAGAAAGCATAGTATCATAATTTAATTGGCAGCATTTTATCTTAAAATCTATATCATTTTAGAGATATGAAATTTTATTTATATGATCCTCACCTGTGAGGGGTAAATGAACAAGGATGAGTGTCTCCATTTTGCAGATTAAGAAACAGATTTAAGTAGGTCAAGTGCTAATATGCTTCTAACCTCTAGCAACAAACTACAGAGACTGGGCCAGAGAATGCTTTTGAAATCCTGCTTAGGGAGAGAAATGCTTACAACAAAATATTGAAGTATATACCTGGAAAAAAGATGGAAAAAATTTAAACAATGATTCTCTCTGGCAGATGGGATATAGATGAGGTTTTTTGAAATAAAAAAAAAAAGTGCAATCTGTTTCACAACAATGTGAATATACCTAATACTGCTGAACTGTGCACCTAAAAATGATTAAGATGACGAATTAAAAAAGAAAACTAAAATAAAAATATGGTATAGTTAGGAGAAAAAACCTAATCCCATGTAGGATTCTCTCTCCTTCAGCATCTACAGCCAGAGCCTCGACCTGAATTAATTAATTCCTCTTGGGGTGTGTTATCCCAAACCCATCAGTAAGACTCAGAGGAGCTGGGGAATAAGCCCAGGAGCTGGGGAGAGACAGAGGAACGATCAGTAGGAAGCAAAGAAACTCAAAGTAGGGGGATATGAAGAGGGACACAATAGACCCCGAGTGTTTGATGCAAGCCTTTTGACAGAAAGGAAGAAATTTGACAGAGAATGAAGTAAAGACTTACTATTTCAGTTAAACAAAAATTCAGGTAAACTAAAATGTACTAATGACTCTTTACAGGCAGTTGTGGTCTATAATTGGAAAACTGGAAATGTGGTGAAAAGGTTCAGAGGACATGACCGTGAAATCACTAAGGTAATTGTCAAATGATTATCATCACGGAGGGAATTTGGAACTGAATAAAGGAATATCTAATAGGTTTAGATAGTAAGAGTGATTGAATAGTCAGTCTTAAGGGGAAAATGCAAGGGCTTTATTTGATGCTGTGAAGTCCTACTCCAGGAAAAGCAGAGCAAACCATTCACTTGGCTACTGGTACAGGTATATTAGACACATTTTTTTGTTGTTATTAACCCCTTAATAGCTCAGGTGGTAAATAGAGAGTGACTCTCCCTGACCAGTCCTAACTCAACAGGGACATGTATTGAAGGCTTACTGTGTGTTTACTACAGTTAGAAAAATGATAGAATTGCTATGCTTAGGAATCTTTTAGACTAGTTGGGGAAATTTTTTAAAAGCCAACAATAAATAAAAATTAATTTGTTAAATAGCTTTACAGAGTAGAGTTTCCAGCAAATGATAGAGAATGCCAATTTGTATAATGTCCCCCTCTAAAATCCACCTAAATGAACCAAAAATTTGCTGCAAACTCCATCGCATTGGAACTCGGCATCAGCCACAATCCTGTAACACAGAATGGGATATTTACCTGTTGAATACAGTGCATTTTGAACCATACTGAGAACATTAGGCTCTAACGCACTTATCTCAAAGTCCTTTCCCCATTTTAAAGTCCAGTCAAAGGAGCACACCACAGCATTTTTTTCTTAAGCAGATAGCCTGTGTTCCCAAATCAAACCAGTTCTTCAGCGCCTCTCGGGACAGGACGGTCATGATGTGGGACTTGCATGGTTCCTCACAACCAAGGCAGCAGTTTTCCGGCCATGCCATGGTGGTCACTGGATTGGCTGTGAGTCCAGGTAAAGCAAAGCGGAGCTCTTCCCATCGCCATTGTACTTTCTGAAAAGGCCTGTTCCAAGTCCATCTCATGGACCATCATCTTGCCATTGTTTCCAAAGACTCATCACAGCTGTGCACTGGGTCTCGGGATAACACCCTGCTTCTGTGGGACGTGGGAACCGGACGGTGTGTGGAGAGAGCATCCATCTCCAGGAACTTGGTATGACCTCGAACTTGCTACAGAGCAGGGCAGGAGAAGGGAGAATAGAGTGAGGGAAACAGCCTGGGCAAGAGATCAGGGGACCCACGGCCAGGCATTAGAAGCTTGGGTCCTCATTACTGTTCACCCCTAACTCTCTGTCAGACCCTGGCTTCTCAGGGTTATCAGATGAAACAATCTCTTAAGGTCTTCTGCTTGAGAGAATAAGTCCACTAGTTTTTTATTGAGATTTTAAATGGTGTCCTTACTTAATCCTTCAAAACATAGTGATTCTATTTTTTCTGTGGGCCAGACACTGTGCTATGAGCAGGGTTAGTAACTAAGGACACAGTCCCTGTCCTCCAGGAGCTCACAGCTTATGCTCTGTGTTCTGTATATATAACATTATGTAGAGAAATAAGTATTACCTTTTGCTTTCATTATACTTTGCTGTGTTTTCTGGTAGCATACTGGTTTATAAACTCCACAGCCTTTGGGGTCCGTCATACCTGGGTTCAAATCACGGATCCATCACCTTCTCGCTGTGTTATCCTGAGAAAGTTAGAGTCTCAGTGTCTCCATTTATAAAATGAGGAGAACTATATCACCTGACATAGTAAATGTTCCTTTAGTGGTCATCAAATATCAGTCATAGTTATCGTTTCCAATTTTGAAGACAACTGTAAATGGCAAGATGCGCTTGCCTATGCCCTCCATGTTTGTGGAGGTTCCTGGAGGAAAAGGAAGTCCTGCTGCATTGGGTTGTTTTGAAAACTGGTTCATGCCTGTCCAGCAGGGGGCTGCGGAGATAAAGAGAAAGAAGCTTTCTGAACTCACTGTGGCGTTAGACTAGGTTTCAGTGGTCCCGCTTTAGAACAGGGGCTGCTCCCCTTCACTGCCACCAGCCAGCAGTTCTTTACCGTGCATTTGGGGTTCAGGCACTCTAAGAGAGCCTGCGTGCATTTGGGTATCCACAACTGCCCAGCTGCCAACATTGGTGCCAATAACCAGGGAGATGCAAGTAGAACATGACTGGTTGGCGCCTACAAAACATAAAAATGCCTCTTAGTCAAATTTTCTAGTTCAGCAGTCTTGAGAAGTGGTGCAGAGATGCTATTTAGCACAGTTTACAGGAATTCCAGGAAGGGAATGACTTGGTATGGAGACTGTTTTGAGAATTTTGCTTCTTCCAGGTCACTCACCTATGCTGGGTCCCCAGAGAACCATATATACTACAGACTTCTGAAGATAAAACCATCAGGTGGGCTCACTGAGCAGCAGCGAAGGTGTTTCTGGTTAAGGTTTGTGGCTCCCATGCCTACACAACTGATTCCCGCAAAAAAAAACTGTGACCTTCCCAGGGCCTTCTGCCCCTCTGCCCCCTGCTGGTGCTGGAGCCTCTCTGATCTGGCCCCACAGATCCTCTGGGTAGAAGTTGAAAGCCAGGAAGTTGGGCCCGGAATAGCCCCTGTTCTGATTGGTTTCAAAGCAGCTGATTCTGCCCGCTCACGCTGCTCAAACTGTTAACCTCAGGATCAGTTACTGGCTTGTCCCATCCCTTCAAGCTGCCTGGCTCTACTTGCTACCCTTGCTCAGCTACTGATGTTCTCAATTGCCCAGCCCTCAGGTGAAGCCCTCCCTGGAAAAGCAGGGTCAGAATCGCCATCACAGGGGTCAAATGAAGTAAATCGTTCTTAGAGTAGAAAGCACGACTGGAAACTTTGGATCTCAGAAGAGATTCTACTTAGAAAATGGTAGGAATGAGACAGGGCAAAATAAAACACTCCCCTCTGGACTCCATGGCCCAGGTTGGCCAAGGCCTGTAAATCATTTATATCTGATTCTGGAATGATGACTGCTCCTCTGTGTCATAATAAGTATCTTAAAAAAAAAAAAAAATTAAACCACAGGTACAGAAATATCCTCTTGTCTGTTGAAAGCAGTATCCCAAAGGACCAAATTAACAAATTAACTTGAATAATTTAGATGCTTGGTCTAAATTCCTATTAACTGGATCTCAAAATAGAAAGAACTCAAATGTCATTTGGTTATTTCCTGCCAGCTTTGGAGTCGCTGAGATTGATCTGGTTCATGCTGCTGTTTTTAGGTAAATCATGACATTCTATTCTGACTGGCCAAAGCAGCAAAGAGCCAAGACTATTTTTGTTCACAGGCGATTATAAGTGTATTTCAGAGACATTTATTACAAACTCATTTCCTGCTGTAATTTCTTTCAGATTATGGGACAGTCGGGGGCTGCAGGTAGCTCATATATTTCCCATAAAGCAACACATTCAAACCTACTGCGAAGTCAGTGAGGATGGACACAAGTGTATCTCCTGCAGCAGCGGCTTTGGAGGGGAAGGCTGCGAAGCCACGGTGAGAGATCGTGTGGGGTCCAACTGTCTGGCTGCCGATGACAAATAACTTACTCTGGCCTCATGCCCATTTGGGGCTATCTATATAGGCAGGTTTACTTATGGCCCAGGTCTATTCCAAGTGCATGCTGTAAGTGATCCTTTGCATTCCAGATGCTTCTTTCAAGGAATACCCATTAGCATAGGGCTCTCTGAACTGGTCATAGGAAAGAGAAATGCAATGAGAGTCAAGATAGGAAGGTGCTGTCACAGAACCAGCCTGCTAATGTCCCTCCTCCCAGAAGAGCTGAGAAAGAGGAAGGACTATTTGAAGGACCAAGTGTTTCCTGTTGTACATGTGGTCACGACTGAGGTTCAAGCTCTTTAGGAAGGTTGGAGCTCCAGTGTTGGTTGAGGGTCCACCCCACCCCTTACCCATATACTTTTCATTACAGTTAATTTTGGAATAGATTGCGTAGGCACCTCCAAAGTACCTTGGATTCCTAAGGAATAGCAGTTAAAAGGGTTATCTAGTATCCAAATAGAAAATTACAGCTCCCATTTTATCAGAAATTTATTATGTACTAGACAGTGGGCTCTGAGCACATTGCATACATTATCTCATTTAATCCTTAAAACAACTGAATGAGTTAAGTTCTATTATGATTTCCATTTTATAGATTAGGAAATAGAGGCATGAGAAGTTGAAATCTCTTGTACGTCTCTAGTAAGTGGTAAGTCAAGGTGTTAAATCCTGGGCTGTTGATGTTGCATCTCTTCTCCAAACTAAGCATTTCCTACATCTGTTCCTTAGATGATGTGGTGTCCAGTGATTTTTTGATTGCAATTCAGATTGCTCTCCTCCCTGAACATTATTCTCCAGGTGTGGTCTGATCTGTATCAGCAAGAGTGGAACCGGCATCTCTCTTGTAGACTTTATTTCCAAGACTTTATTTACTAGTCTTTATTTCCAAGGTTCAGTGACTAGGCATTAAATCAGAAGGTCTGTGCCTGTAAATACTTATAGGAAGATGTTCTTAACTTTGGGGTCCCCATAGGACCCACAGATAGCAAAAGGCAGCTCTCGAGCCTGACTCCCCTGATGTTAACCATGATGTTAATGAGGAAGACAATAACTCTTCTGGCACATCCTTAACCAGGGTTGTCTGAGTCATAGTTAATGCTTAAAATAATCATTAGATGGGTGGATGGCAGGGTGTGTGGATGGGATGGCTGAAGATAAGGAGTGGCTACATGAGTAGGCAAGTGGAGGGAACAGGTGGGCCATGAGAGGGTGGGAAGATAGATATCAATGAGTGAAATGTGGGAAGCTGGAGAAATGTGTATGTATGAGCTAGCCTATGTCATTACTTTGCAGTTGTGGGACCTAAGGCAGACACGGAACAGAATATGTGAGTATAAGGGGCATTTCCAGACTGTTGCATCCTGTGTCTTTCTACCAAGAGCACTGGCCTTGATGCCTGTAATTGCTACCTCATCACATGACTGTAATGTGAAGATTTGGAACCAAGATACTGGAGGTAAGAAGCCGGCTGTTAGTCCTTCTCAAAAATACATGAAGTCCTAAAGCCTTCCTTAAAACTTTCTTTCCATTGCTTAGCAAAGCCAATCATGTCCCATCCCTGTCCAGTCCCCTAGCAGTTAAGAGATGACACCAAGATACCAGAATCTCTGCTCAACGTCTGGCTAAAAACCATCACCACATCACCCCTGGTACCATGCTGTACAGACCCGTTCCTGAGAGCTCAAATATATTTAGCTTTTATATTCTTTCTACCTGAAGTTCCTCATCAGGTTTTAACCTGTGATGCTCAAAATGCCCGGAATAGAGAACAGTAATTGCCATTTTAAATTTTATTTTTTTAAGGACCAAAATGAGAGCCTCACTTTTGGTGGGGTGAGGTGGCATGAGGATAGTTTTAGAAAGACCCTGCCCTGTTCTGACTCTGCTGCTAAGGTTTGAGATTGCAGTAAGGTCATGACACTTCAAAGCACCAGAGAAAAAGATGTTTTAGGGAATACAACTCCCCAGAGTTCTCAAAGCAGTGCTGTGCTGGATCCAGCTCCTTCCAGGGAAGATAGGGTAGCTCCCTCAGAGAAAAGATGTGGGATCATGTCATGTGGCACACACGCCAGGTTTCCATAGTAAGGGCAGCCCTGCTGTACCCTTACCTGGAGTGGCCTTCTCCAGTCAGGTGTAACACTGGTGGGAGGTAGGGGGAGCAGCTTTTTAGATTCAATGATCATAAGCCCAAGACCAGGGAGAACAAGGTCTGAAGCGCTGCGCTGCCCGCCAGATGTGTGCCTGCAGTTCTGAGAAGGCTTCGAGATGCGGATGAAAAGAGATGGGTCAGCCGGAAGCCACTGGACTGCCCTTCAGTAGCCCCTATTATCCTTTGTCTTGAAGGGAACAAGACATGGGTAAGCCAGCAGTTGAAGATCAGTATCCCTGTCTGTTCTCCTGTGCCCTGGCCCTGCTTTGTTCTACGAGCAAGTAATTGAGGGCAAGTTTTTAGCATGTCCTTGCTGGCAAGGCCCAAGTGTCTAAACATACTTCTCAGTGGTACATATCCATCCTGTTAGGTCCATGCATCATTCTCTACAGTCGAAGTCTTGGGTTCACCCAAGTTCTCACTTACCTGCTGGTGCATGTTCCTTAGAAGCATGTGGTGTCTCTCTTGTCTGGGTTAGATACATATAGCTCATGCTTTAATTATGTGGATTTCTCACAAAAAGATTGAATTTCATGATATTGCACCCTTGGCCTAAGTTGTTGGTTCCCCCTTCCTCCCCCAGCTTGCTTATTCACTTTGTCTCTGGATGGATCAGGACCTTTGACTTCTCTGGCCATTGGTGACACCATCTCCTTATTGTGTGCAAGTTTCAGCAGAGGAATTCACTTACTCAGAGTGGACCACAGCCAAGGGCTGCAACTGCGGGAAGTGGCAGCATTCTGAGGCCAAGAGACATTTGCTGGACAATATCAAACCGTGGCCCTTCCTATCTCAGTGTGGCTTTGTGTTTTTCCATATTATCTTGGGGGGAGTATGAGGTGGGGCTAACGTTCTTTGCTTGGGTTTGTTAGAAGGTATGTCAGTGTGAGAAGTCAATTTAAGTCCAGTGGTTCAAAATCAGGTGCAGAGTTTAGAAACATGGCCTAAACATAAGGTTCTCAATCTACGTCAAATCCAAATGCAATTTTTAGTGAGCTTTTCAGACTACTCTTCCAAAACAAGAAAAAGTTTTGGCTCAAAATGATGACCTGTAGGTATAAGGATGATAGGCCTCCACCTGTGAGCGCCAGAACACAGGGTCTGAGTCTATTGAACTGACCTTTTGATGTCTTCACAAAAGAAAAAAATGCAAGGAAGAGAGAAACTCTGTTTTGGTTGCCCCGGCATGATCTAGATGGGAAAGAATAGTACAGCTCCTTGGAAGACATAGGTTGTACATATAAGCCTCAGTAAGCTCCAGTCACCGCCTCTCAGCAACGTGAAGAATCAAAGTTAGGGCAAGAAAGCAAAATCTTTGGCTTCTACTCATAGCAGCAGAGAGGGAGGTGGCAAGTCCCTGCCAATTCTCAGTATCTTCCTAAACCGGTGCAGAGGTTGCATGAAAATAAGGCCTGAGGAGGCTCGAAAAGGCTGATAACCACAGGGCCCTGCCCAGAATTATAGGAGCTATCGAACTGGTTCTGTGGATAAGAAAATGGAGAGGTTGCGAGATTAAGGCTTAAAAAATTCATTTGTACATTTTAATATTTTTATTTAGTTTTATATAAACTCTTTTCAGGGACTGGCCAGAGGGAGGCAAAGGGAATGTCTGCTGTCACAACAGAACATCTAGAAAAATGTAGAGCCATGGACTCAAATGTGCCGGCCATTGAGCCCTCATCAAGTGAGGAGGGGCAGGGTTTTCCTATGCAGCTCCTAGATCAGTCCCCACCTGGTGCTCACAAGCCCATTTTCCTCCAGGGAAAATAAAGTCCCTCCTGTCTTCAAGCCCACATGTAAGGCACCTGAGGCCGAGGGATTCCCTTTCTGTCGAGCCCCAGCCAAGGAAAGATTTTGCATTTGTCTTCTCTGGCTCCTGCCTCTCCCTGATACCAGCAGCTGACAGCCATCTTCCTGTCTCCCCCCTGCTCCTCTTTGGAGCCAGCTCTCTCATACCATTTCCACTCACTAGGGAGGAGAATCTTAAGCTACTGCAAAGCGTCAGGCCTGAGTTTGAATCTCCACTTTTCCATTTAGCTGGGTGATCTTGGGCAAGTTATAAAATCTCAGTTCCTCTTTTATTACATGGGACTCATAATCTTATATTCCTCACAGGGCTGATCCAAGTACTGAACAGAACTGTATTAAATGCCAACCAAAGTAGTAGGTGCCTGTAAATAGTAGCCATTGTTATATACTGCCCTCTCTGTCCAGACTAAACACTCTCTTTTCCATACGAATCATTCACCATTCCTTCATCCATTCTCCTTAGATGTTATTTTCTAAGCCTTTAGTCATTGTTCAGCTTCCCTTTGATTCCTTAAGTTACGGATCTTTGTACTCTAGAGGGACAAAGGGGTAGTGGGAGTGGAAGCTTCTCCATTGAGCACCTACAGATGGCTGAATACATTTATTCTCCGATAATTCTTATCATTTCCATGTCACAAATGAGGAAGCTGAGGCCCAGGGACATCCAGGCCTGTGCCCAAGGTTATACACATAGGTAGGAAGGGAAAGAACAGATCTGGACCTGGGTCTGCCTGACTCCAAGCAGGAATACTCTCCTCTCTTTTTCTTTGCCTTTTCATGATGTCACAAAGTTCATTTTAGAAATTTATAGACCACAAATGACATTGCTCTTGTATTTTCTAGACCAGTTGTTAACTTTTTGGCTCGAAGGAGATCCTCCTGGCCAGGTTGCCCAGGATCAGTAGACAGGTGTCTCAGGGAAAGTCTTAGAGTATCATGAACTATTAGTGCTACAGCTGACCTTTTCTTCTAGAAAGAAAATGGTCGGTAAGTCAGAAAATTCAAGAGAGTTGGGAGGGAATCATGGGGAAGGGGAACAGGCTGCTGTGAGTAGGCACATACCTGTCAGAAAATGATAATGAATTAGCCTCTGATGAATTAGCAGGGTTCTATTACCAATAAAATTGTTTCCCTAAACTCTACATATGTGCTTGGTGTGTAAATTCCCTTATTTGTGCATTTTAAGTGGAAAATAGATTAATAAATGCAAATGTTTTCATAAAATTTTTTTAATGTTATATGCCCTAAATGGGCACTTTCAACACCTAAAGTACAGGATGCATTCATTTGTTCATTTGAACACTTCGTTTCAGAGGCTGCGCCTCAAAAATCACATCAAGGAATTTCCCAAAGACAGTTGACTATTTTCCAGGAAAGTGTATAAGTCCTTGGAATCTGGCCAATTATATATCTAAAATTTAAGTAAATTTGTATATTCATCTATATATTTAAGGAAATGAATGATGATTATTAACAGCCTTCATTTTGACAGGAATTTTAAGTATAAAACTCAGGTTACTTGGTGTTTTTAATTTTTTAACACCGAGAAAAGGGAACTTAGCTATTTCTAAGTAGGCTTTGGAAACATAATTATTGAAGAACAACTTCGTCATGAAAAATGCAGCAGACTGCTAACTATTTCTCGAAATTGGCATTTCTCCTTGGCACAGGCTGCCCAGCTGAGACTGCCCAGCTAGGCATGGCCATGAGAATAAGTTCTCGTCAGTGGGTGGTGAGTGGAAGTGATGTGTGTAACTTCCACTTTATTAGCTTGAAAGAAACATTTTTGTCCTGGCTTAGCCCTCTGTATCCTTTCTCACTAGCTGGAATGCAGATGCCAGTAACAGCTTCAACAATTCAGGACAGGATGATGAAACAGCAAGAGAGGAACCTGGGGCCTCAAATAACTTCAAGGAGCTGAGCTGCTCCAATAGCCTGACCAACTGGACTGTGACCCAAAAGAAAATGAACTTAATTTTTTTAATACATATATACCATTTTAACTTTTAATTCAAGTATGCAATCACAAACCATTTCAGATATCTTAAATTTATAGCTTGTTGAATTTTCATAAACTGAACAGACACACTAGTAACCAGTACCTAGATGAGAAAGCAGAATACATCCTGCTATATCTTAAATTTATAGCTTGTTGAATTTTCATAAACTGAACAGACACACTAGTAACCAGTACCTAGATGAGAAAGCAGAATACAGGAACTGAGATGGCCTCCTTCATACTCCCCTCAGGCCTGTCCGCTAAGGAATTTGTAACTGCATACATTGGTTTGTCTGCTGTTCTACTTCACATTAATGGAATCATACTATATTGTAGGAGATGGAAAATAGAGCCACAAATTTCTCCCATCTCTTTGATCCTTTACAAAGTGACATAATCAGTAGGTGGGATCTATTTCCCCACCCCTTGAATCGGTACTGATTTTTTGACTTGGCTTGACAGACAGAATAGAGGGGAATGAATGCTGTGCAACTTCAGAGGCTGAACCCTCAGAAGTCTTGGAGTTTCATTTTCACCCTCCTGGAATGCTGCTGAGATCTCCACATTGGGGAAGTGACTTAGGCCACACAGAGAAGAAACGAGCACCACTAGATGAGTGAATGAGGTCACTTTGGACCTCCAACCCCGTGAAATCTGCAGCTGAATGAAGCCATGGATAAAATCAGAAAATGAGCTGTGCACAGCTATCCCACACGATCATGAAAAATAATAAACTTGTTTTAAGACACTAAGTTTTGGGGTAGGTTGTCATGCAGCAGTAGATTTAAGTGAAACAAGCATGTGCTCTTATCTTGGTTAGGCTTCTTTTGCTCAACGTGTTTGTGAGATTGATTCATACCACTGCATGCAGAGGAATATCATTCTCATTGCTGTACAGTATTCTGAGACAATATAATTTACCCATTTAACTACTGACATGTCTAGCTTCTAGTTTGGAGCTCTTACAAAGAGTGCTGCTATGAACAGTCTAATTATAAGTCATTTGGTGAACGTATGCACGCATTTGTGTTCATTATGTAGTGGAGGCCCTTCTGCGCTATCGCATGGCTTGCACGATCAGCTTTAGTAGATATTACCTCTTTTCCAAAAAGGTTGTCCCAGTTCACCTCCCCACCCACTGCACAGGGGTGTTAGCAGAGTTCAGTTGTTCCTTGCCAACATTCTGTGCTCTTAAACTTTGCAACCCTCAGTTTTAAAGATGAGTGCATAGAAGTTGAAGAGTGCAACGGGGAAGTATTAGCTTAATGAGCCAACTTGTGACAGAAGCTGGACCAACTGGTTTTGACAGCTACCTTTCTTCCTGACACTTCTAGTTAAAAGGCCAGAATTGAACATTAAAACCTTATATGTACATCATGCTCTATATTTACATACTTTCACAACCATAATTTCATCTGAATCTTCCAGTAAAATAACATGTAAAACAGGCAGCGTGCAGATCATTACTCTGGTCCGTAGAGAAGGCAAGGGACTTGTCAAAGGTCACAAGTTTTTGGCAGAGCCCAGATAGGAGCCCAGGTCTTTGAACATGCAGAAGGTTCTTCCCACCAAAGCCCTCTACTATCTTTGGCATTGTCCTGGCGGTGGTGGGCACAAAAGCTGAGGGGGCAGGTAGGAGGTATTTGTATCTACGGAATAAATGATATAGGTTAAACATCGCAGATAGAAGGAATGTCCAATTTCTTCCCAGATGTTATCTCCCCAGGGTCTGGAACACAGCATCCTGTTTATTCAGGTCTTGCACATGACACATTGAAAAGCCCTGATTGGAGGTGATAGGGATTGATGCCAGCTAGCACTGCATATTCACATGCTGGAAACTAGCCAACTTCACATGACTGATAACCATGCAGAAAATGAGGCTACACAGAATATTGTCCTTAATTCGCCCGAAGTGAAAAACATAGATCATAAAACAGCACCATACAGCCTCATCTCATTTTGGTAAAAATATATCTGCACATATGTCTATATATTCATAGATAAATGTCTGGAAAAAAATAGAACAAAAATGTTAACCTTGTTATTCCTGGGTATTAACTTGAAGATCAATTTATTTTTCACTTTATGCCTTTCTGTATCTTTTTTGCAATAAGGGTGAATCAGTTTCATTTTGAAAACTTACTTATTTTTGAAATAGATGATGCATTCACATAGTCACAAGAGCACAAAAGGTTATATATATACTAGTCTCCCTCTTCATCCATATCTATCTTCTAACTGGCTCCCTCCTGAGGTAGCAAGTGTGACCAGCACCTAGTGTATGTTTTCAGAGACATTTTGTGCATGTACAAGAAAATACTCACATTTATTTCCTTTACCACTTTTACAATCAAAAAGCAATACTACTTTTATTTTTTAATTTAAAAAATGTTGTTACAGTTCACCTTCAATATTCGGTAGTACAGCATAGAAGACTACTTCTGAAAAAAAGGGTGTAGAAGACTATTTTATAATTTATCAAGATATGTAGAAAAATAGGGAAAAAAGGCTACAAAACAGTACATCAACTGACATATTTTTAAACAACTTATGAAAAATTGTGTTTCAAGTTTGAAATATTATAGTTATAAATAAAAGACTGAAAGGCTATCACCTAAATGTTTTGGCAGTTATCGCTGCATGTAGGACTTTGGGTGAGTTTATGCTCTCCTTATAGATGGCAGTGTGCCTGATGGCTTAGAATGTGGACTCTGACACCAGGCTGTCTGGTTCAAATCTCGGTCTGCCACCTCTTAGCTCTCTGACCTTGGTTAAGTGAGTTAATGTCGTGTTTTAGTGTCCTCGCCCGTAAAATGGAGATGATTGCACCTATCCATAGAGTTGAGCTGTCACCAGGGATGTTATAATATTCAGGCAGAGCCCTTACAATAGTGCCTAGCATTACTCCTAAGTATCAGTAATTATTATATCCATTTCCTAATTTTTTTTATTGGACATGTATTATAATAAAAGTTAAATAATAAACTCCCACGAGAGAATAGAAACTATACAGACATAGAGAGGAGCAGAGATGAGAGTGGTCCAGGAGCCTTCTTTCCTGGCATCTGGAGATCGCCTCTGAGATCTTCAGAGAAACTCCCTGGACCTTCCAGCACAAACAGTCTTTGGCCAATACTTTGCCACTATTTCCCTGGCAGAGCTCATGTAGAAAGTTTTCAGAATAAGTGTGAGAACTCCTGGTTGTGCCTGGACCAACTCATACCAAGGAACTTCTGAGGGTCGGTTACTGCCACCCTGACATGGCTGAAAGTCCAGGAGGTTGAAAGACAAGACACTTCATTCACAGCCAAGCTGGAGAAAGAGCTGCCCAGTTTCAGTTTTGTGTTTCTAAACATATCGGGCAGCATGTGCAGGAAGCGTTTTGTCCTTTGGCCTTCAGCTGGAGCCTGTCCTCTGCAGACACAGCATGGGGATCAAGAAAGGAGAAGGCTGCCCAAGAGTTCACATATTGCGCTCAGAAAGAAGGCAGGGGAGAGAAAGCATGGGACCAGAAGGTGGATGCTCTGGGTTCCAGCCTCTCCCCTGACATTGCACATCTACGTTAGCTGGGATGAATATTCTTAATCCCACCAAAATCCAATTGCTCCTCATAGAACCTCTTGAGTTAATGTGGGAATAACCATGCCAGATGTGACCTGCTTGATGGGATGAACTACTTTATATTTGAAATATCTAGATCTTATAGTTCTTGGTAAGTTTGAGGTAAACAAGGGCTGGAATATAGTACTATATCAGTGTTTCTAACTTTAATCAATTGAAATTCTACAAACAAAATAATAAAATAGCTGCTAACCCTTATCCACAATTCTAAAATCCCACACTCTGCAGACAAAGATTTTTTATTGAATTTGGTGCCAAAATTGACCTGACCTTATAGTTGGTTTTTTTTGGGGGGGGGCGGGGAGGGGGGTTTAATAAATTACGGAACATTCATTTGATAGCAGGGTGTTGGGAGAAAGTATGAAAAATTCCAAAACCCATCTGGCCCCAAGGGTTTTGCACAAGGAATTGTGGCCTTGGAAATAAAATAAATTCAGATGTCGCATAAAGAAGATTCCCGGGGTGCCCACTCCCAGGGTGGGATTCACCCAGTCCCATCTGTGACTTCTTCCGGATGGCAAGTCCTTGGGAAGTCTTCATGAATTTGAAGACAAATGTAATCAGCATGAGTCAAGAAATTTACATTGGGCTATTTCTCTTAAATCCGTGCTCCTCACATTTTAATGTTTTTCTGAATCTGCTAGGTATCTTATAGAAATGCGAATTCTGACTCTGTGGCTCTGGAATGGGTCTGAGGTTTTGCATTCCTAATACTCTCCATTCCTGATGCCTGTGCTGCTGGGAATGTCCTAAATTCCAGAAAGGCCTAAAACAAGGTTCTGAGTAATGACAAGTTGGTGCCCCCCAGGGAGAGTTGCCCCTTGCCCTTGGAGGGGATGCTGGCTAAACACTGATCATCACCTGACCAAACCCTGACTCCTCACGGCCTTTTCTCCATCCTCCACTGCTTTTTACTGCCTCTTCCGCTCCAGATGGCTTCAACCACCCTGCCCTTCCACTCCAGGCCTTGGCTGAGTTCCACCAAGTCTCATGACTCTTCACTCACCCAGTTCCAAGGTACTGCTTGGACGAGGTGCTTTTCCAGCTGGCTGACCTCTCCCCAGCCCCCAACCATGAACTAAATTAATTCAACTCTCAGATTCCTGAAATGACTCACTATCTCTCCTGGGTATTTCCCCAGAAAATTTTTCCATTGTTTGCAAAGTACTCCCTAGCCCCGACCACCCAGAGATGTGATAATAATGCATTTGCTCACTAGACAATTGGTGACCCGGAAAGGGCCATGGTTTATTTTCATATCACTGATTGCAGTGCCTTGACTGATTCCTTACACACCCTCTCTGCTTTTACTTTTTAAATTCTAGATTTCCTGGTTGCAAAAAACTCAGATTTACTTACTTTCTAAGTGAATTTTCCCATTACGAAAATAATACATATTTATTAACGGAAATTTAGAAAATACAGGTAAGAAAATGAGAACACCAGTAAGCCCATCACCCAGAGATAACCATTGTAACATTTGCCTCACGGCCTTTCAGTCTTTATATATAAATCTTGTTTTACAACATCTGGCTCATACTACATAAACCATCTTTTAAACTGCATCCTCCCCCAATTTACAGTATATTGTGACCATTTTCACAAGTTAATAAAAATTCTGCATATCAATTTTAAATGATTATGTAGTTTGCCACTTAATTGATACATAGTAGTTGGACTTTTACATTTTTTCCAGTCATTTATGGTTAAAATAAAACTGTGATGAACATCCTCACTTAACAAAAGACATAGGCATATTCCAATTCTGACTCTAATTCTGGTGTGTGTATAATTTTCGACACCACCAAGCAATTCTCCAACACCAACAGGGTGTCCTACTGTTCAACTCAATACTGACACTACCTACCTGAAGATAGCATTGGATCCCACAGGTTAATGGTTCAGTCCCACAAGAATGTCTCCTATCCACACACAACCCAGACACCAATTGCAAGTCTAGGTGGTCACCTGTGCTTCTAACCAACTGGCTATATATCAGAGGTTCCCACCATCCCCTCGATTAATTTGATAGAGCAGCTCACAGAACTCAGAGAAACATTTACTTATGTTTACCAGCTTATTATAAAGAATATTATAAAGGATACAGATGAATAGCCAGATGGAAGAGATGCACAGGGCGGGTTTATGGGAAGGGGTGCGAAGCCTCCATGCCCTCTCCAAGCACATCCACCTGTTCAGTAATCCAGAAGCTCTCTGAACCTCATCTTTCTGATTTTTTATGAAAGCCTCATTACATAGGCATGCTAGTTGTTTTGTTTAGTTTGGGGGAGGCAGCAAAGTTATACTCAGAGATTTATTTCTATCTTTGCCAGCAACTTATTCCCTGCGGGAATTATAATTTCACAAGCCAATAGCATACAGGATAATATCCCTTCAGCTGAATAAAGAAATAACATTAAAAAAAATAAAAAAATAAAAAAAGACAGATTAATCACATTATTGTTCCAGGCAAGGGGAAGTGAAGGAATAAAATAGGAGGTGTACCTTTTTATACAAAGTAGGAGAGTCAGTGACCAACCAAAGAGCTGATTTCCGGCTGCCAGCGCTTTTGTTTCCTGTTGCTAAGGAACAAAGACACTGGTATTGGTGGTGGGCTGATCTCTTTCATGGGCCTCTGCTCAGTTTCTCACCACTGTCTCCTAGGAATGCCTTGCCAAGATGAGTGGGAATGAGCGCCCCAAGGGTCTCTGAAGAATTTTTAGGTTAGCTAAGAGTCAAAGAGTTGTCTCGCCCAAACCAAAACGCTCAAATAGTCCCCACAAATGCTCAGTATTTATAGTCTTAAACATCCCCTTGCCATAGCTGCTTCTCCACACATACTTATTGATAAGCCCCAGCAGGATCTGTTAGCTGATGGGCTGCTGACTGCTTATCACCAGCAGTTGTAGAATGATGGCATGTTTGCATGACTTATTTCATTCTCGTAACAAAGCAGTTTTTTCTTTGTCATAAACAGGTGGATTAAAACAACTTAAGTCATGAACTAGTGGACCTGAAACCAGGTCCACTAACAAGTAGAGTCTGGATTCTAAGTGAGGACTTGCCTCTGACCCGGAAGTCTGACTTGATTGAGAACCTAGGCTCTTCATGCTATGCTTAAATACCACTCCCTGACTGTTTTCTGTTGGATTATTTGCCTTTTAATTAATATTTTGCAAGAGCCCTTAGTAGTTTGGTTGTAGAGGCTCAGAGTTGAGAAGTGTCTATCTGGGCTGAGAGATACCTCACCTCACCACAGACATACATCACGTTCATGTCAAGGCAGTCAGCACGTAGAGGGCAAGCACAATCAGAGGTGATAGCGGGTGACCAATCCAATACAGAACAGAGGCCTGCAAGACTGGTGGACTTCGATCTTCTTTGAGAAAAAGCAAGAATGACTCGTTGGAAGATGAAGAAACCAAAGCTTCTAGGCTGTCCTCTGTGAACACAGACAGTGGAAAGTTATCAGAAGGAAAAAGAAAATCTGAAACAGAGAAGCTAGCCAGGAGCTGCCAGAAGACTCATGCAAATGAGCCCCACCCACGACTGCCTGGAAACCATGCCAGAAGTCAGAGCACTTGCTGCAGAGCCTCACTCTGGAAAGGAGGAGGAGGAAGAGGAGGAGGAGGAGGAAAGAGGCTCTGAAGGAGCAGGTAAGGAGCCACAGGGGGTCATGGAGGGCTGGGTCACAGTGCCCTAGAGTCCTAAGAGGCAGCTCAGTCCAGCTGAATACTTTCTTTCTGGGATCATCTTTCAAGTTCAGCCATTCTTCAGCTGTGAAGCCTTGGGCAAGTCACTTCACTATTCTGAGCTTTGGCTTCCCCCATCTATAAAATGGGTATAAAAATATCACGCTAACTAGGTATCTGAGCACATGCTGTGCCTTGCTGAGAACGTGACAGACATTATTCCTTCCTCACAGTAACCCTGTAAAGTGGGATTATTAGCCTATTTTACAGAAGAAAATGAAGCTCAGAGAGGTTAAGCCATTAGTCAAAGACAGCAAATAAATCTGGTTCCAAAGTCTGCACACTTTCTACTCCCCATCCATCCTCCCCACAGGGTGCTTTTAAAGAATCAAATGGCCTTATGCAAATGAAAAAAAATCATAAGACACATTTATACCATCTGCATGTGAGTCACCACACTTAGATCCTATAGAAGATTGGGGCTCTTTGTAAACTGTGAAGTGCTATAAAAATGTTCTCTCTCTTGAGGTTGAAAACATTGGGGTGATACTACAGACAATATCTGGCAAACCGCCTTAGTCATAGATAGAGACCATGCCTTAGGGGTCGTGTTTAGGACTTGTAGCTGAGATGTCCTGGCTTGGGGGTGAGTGGTAAGTGGCAGACAAGGGCCACGATGCTGATGCCACTGTGACCTTCCTTCCTCTTTACAGCTTGGCCATGGAACTTCAGAAAATGTAGGTTGGCTTTGTGGGGAAGGGGAGAGCCTTAAATGCTTACTACAGTAAAGTTAGAATTTTCAGATAAAAACAAACATAAACACCTAAAATCTTACACCCAGAGATAACCATTGTTGACATTTTGACATTTGTTATTCCATGCTTTTTTTGCATTGCACACATACATTGGAAAATTGGACTATATCCTAATATGGTTTTATTACTAGTTCTTTTCACTTAATGGCATATCATGACCATATTTCCATATTAATAGATGTGTTATCACATCATTTTAAAGGCTGCAGAATGTCTCTTCATATGGATGGAGCAGAATTTATTTAATCAATGTCCCACCGTTAGGTAATTAGGTAGTTTCAATTCTTCACCATCAAAGCAGAACTCTGATGGGGATCTCTGTAACCTGAGGGGCATTTCTGTAACCAAATTTTTGTATAGGCCCTTGATTATTTCCATGGGATACATTCCTAGTGGGGTAACTGCTGATTCAAGGTTATGTACATTTTAAGGCTTTTGCTCAGTACTAAAGGTCTGCTTCTGACACACTCTGGAATTCAGGGGCTCCTCAAAGCTCAGTGCAGAAAACTTTATGGGACTTTGACCCTTCCTATCTTACAAATCCATTTGCAGTGATAAGGCTAACCACCTCATATATGGTCTTTATCAGGTGCCAGGCTCTTATCTAAGAGCTTTACCCTCTGATATACTACTTTTAGCTTCCTTTACAGAAGGGAAAAATGAGGCACAGAGAAGTTAAACAATTCAACCGGAATTATGGCCCTAATAAGCAGTGGAATTGGGGTCATGAGCCTTGACAAGGTGGTTCCAGAATCTATGCTGTCCACTGTTTTCTTGGGAAGTGCTTTGATTCCATCTCCAAAGATATTCTCCCCCATCCCTTTGATCTTTCCTGCCATCTCCCGACCTATGTCAAGCACCACCATCCTAGCCTGGAGCACCGCTGGAGTCCCTAACTGGTCTTCTGTTTCCACACTGTTCCCTGCTCTGCAGTGGAATGGCTTTTAAAATGAAAATAGGATCAGGTCACTTTCCCCTCAGCACCCCACACTCCCTAGAATAAAACTCAGCTGCAACCCAGCTTCCAGGGCCCACCTCCTTTCTCTCTGGATTAATCCTGAGCCACTTTTCCACCCCAGCTCCATCGGTTACACCTCAATCACCCGGGATTCGTTTCACTTCCTCCATTTGGCAGACCTTTTATCACATTAGGACTTTGGTACATGCTGTTCCCTTGACCTGGAATGTTCTTCTTCCGCTCTGCACTGCTGGAGTCTTCTCAAACTTCAGTCTCAGCTTTCATGTCACCTCTTCGAAGAAACCCCTGGTGGTCTCATCTGAAGCAGCCAATGCTCTAAGCCCCATTTTCATTTTTTTTTGTCCGTTATAGTGTTCATTAAAATTATATATGTATTTATTGCCCACTCTTCACCAAATGTCCCTTCCCCTCACTAGACTTCAAAGACTTTGATGAAGTCAAAGACCATGTCTATTTTGTTCATCGTTATTGACCCAATGCTTCACACAGCACCTGGCATATGGTGTGCACTAGGTAATTCAATAACTGTAGAAAGGATGAACTGTCCACAGAAGAAGGTGTTCATTAGAAAGGATGCTTGGTAAACTATCCCAGTTTTGGTCAGAGCTGTTCCATCCTCCTTCTGTAGATCTTCATTTCCTCTTCCCTATACAAAGCAGTTAACAGAGTCTCCCTGGAAGAAAACCAGGGAGTCATGAGTGAGAGAGTATAAGCAGGTTTTGCTTCAGGTATCAACTCAGTCAGGGTAGGTGAGATCATTCCAGGGACACAAGGAAGACTCACTGCCCCCAAATTCCCCTTGCACAGTTCCTGGATTCCTACCACAAGAGATTTATGGCCATGAGGAATTTCCTGAGAATACACAAACACTATCTAGTTAATAACACACATCCAGCAGGTAACTGAATGGATGAGTGTTCTGCCTGTATGACTGTACATGACAGTAGACTGGAAGTCCCAGCGTCACTAGTAACTAGCTTGGGTGAGAGCCACTTCTTGCCTTCTATCTGCAAAGTATGTGGTTAGGTCAGAGAAGTGGTTTTTAAACATTATTTTTTTCCTCAGCAGCTCAGCTCTTCTCTTATTCATATAATCAATATGAGAAAAGCTAAGTATTTTGGTTAAAATGGGGAAGCAGGGCTGGAGCCTTCCTCCTTCCTGACTCCCCTTTTAAGTCCCCAAGGGTGGTGGGATGGCCAACCGTTGGACTCTAAGATCATTGTGCTCAGTGCTGCCAGGGTGGCCGTCTGTGTTCTGGTTGCAGCTTCTTGGGCACACGAAATGACCAAAAGGAGATCAGAGAGAACTTGCTGAATCTGATATCTGAGGTTTTAGGCTGTGTAGTGTGTGAATTTCATAGCAATTGGTGTGGAGGGCAGGCAGCCCCTTTATGCAAGAAGGTTTCAGCCATTTTAGAAAAGAATGAGGGCCCAGGAGAGAAGAGGCCCAGAAGGCTCACTTACTCTCTCCACAATCTAGAAAAAAGAAATTGCCACCCCTACCCTTCTAGCCAGCAATCTGGGGTCTTGAAAGGACCTCCAACCCACATACTTGGCTTCCAGGGTTGGTTGTTTTGTCAAGCCCTGGGGAAACTCCCCTCCCCACCAACAGCTGGGCAGCTCTCTAGCCTTTGCTGCAGGCAGGTGTGCTCAAGAGGCTGCAGCCTGGGCCACCTGGCAGCTCCAGGTGCTCTGTGTGCGCTGCCATGGAGATGGGCCCCGGGGTTGGTGGCGAGAAAGCAGTCTTCCAAAGCTCCTCGGATTCAGAAGAGAGACTGAAGCCTCAGGCCCTTCAGGGTAGTCTGCTGACCACATTAGTGCCAAGGAGGCCCAGGTGGGTGCCGGGGAGGGGGA